GTAAAGTTGCAGAGTTCAGATGTGACCGCTAAATCAATGGATGCGTGAGTAAACGTCCTTATTAATACTGATACTATTTTTAGTCTCTACAGTCCAAGTACAAATGAGATAGATAGATAGATAGATAGATAGATAGATTGATTGATTGATAGACAGACAGACAGACAGACAGAAAAACAGACTAATTGATGTTCTAATAGGCTCTAGGGAGGATTTACTAAACCTTAGAGTTGCTGTAAAGTGGCTTATTCCTATAATATCAGTTGGTCTTCAACCATGCCGAGTTGCCACTTTACCACAAGCAATCGCATGAAGGGTCAGGCTCTATTTAGTAGTCACCATCCAACTTTCTAAAAGTTTGAAGCAGTCCCTGTAGATTGTCCTAGTGCTGGAATTCTATTTAGGCTAAAAAAGTAAAAACAAAAAACTAACTGAATCAAAACGGCATCAAGATGGACACTTGTTGTACAGTATATAACCTTAGTTCAAGATGATATACAGTAGGCATTAAATGTCACTATGTGAATTTAACGACCCAGCCGTTCAAACACAGTAAATACCAAGCCTTCAATCCAATCCAATCCACTTTATTTATATAGCATGATTTCAATAAACACAAGGTTTCCAAAGTGCTGCACAAAAAAGATAAAATAACTAAAATAAATAAAAGTAAATAAAATAAAATAAAAGCACTGCCCGCACAGGATAAAAATATGCATGTGTATACATAAAATCAACATGTGTGTACATAAAATCAACAGAATGCTGTTGAGTCACTAAAACTAGAAACTGATTTCTCCAGATATTTTCAAATAAGTTTCATCCATTTCTTCATAGAGGAATGCGAAAAAAGTCAGTCTGTAGAGTTTTTAAAAGCGAAGAAACATGCTGTGTATTAAAGTTAAAAGTAGAGGATGCAGGTGGGTTGATTTTTACCTGTCAAAAGTATATGCCATGTAGTATGCTATGTAGATAGAATTTTTTTTTTATTTCCTCTCTGTTTATTGCGTTGACTTGGCAACAAGAGCATCCCACCAGTTTTTCCTCCACTGACTGCTTTGAAAGCAGGTGCAAAAAGACACTTCTCCACTCGGATTTCCTGTCACATCCTGCAGCCCACTCCAGTCCTAAACTTTCTATAATTACAACAATCTGTGCTCCAAGAGAGACTGTGTGAAATCTGATTGCTATTGGTAACATTCGCAGCAAGAGTCCTGCTGTGATAGAAGGCTTCCTGTTTCAATTTCCCAGGATCCCTTCAAGTTTTTTGCTTGCTCCTTTCTTTTTCACCCCATCAGTAGGCCATACATTTCCATTCAGGGGGAAAAAAACAGACCCGGTAATATCCAATTTACTGGAAGGCAGAAGAGATGGTTTCACTAGCAGTATAATAACATGCTACATGAAGCGTGGCAGTATAGAGTATGAATAAAAAAAGGCATCTATGATAAAAATTCAATCCAAAGGCAGTCATCATTCATTGGAGGAAATCAAGACAATTAGTAACACTTTACTGCAAATTGAGGAACATATAAACAAATCGCAAACACTGACATCGTAATGGGCCTAGAAGAGGATCAGCTCATATGGCCTGTTTCAAATGCACATTGGTAGACTAATCAAACATCATGAACTTACTGGAGTGACAAGAAAATAAAATGATATGCATTAGTGTATGGCGGCCTGCGCGGGTGTTGTTTGTGCATGACTCAAAGGCTGGAGTACAACAGTCTCTGTCTGCAGTAAGATTGATGATCTTAATGTACTTATAAACAACACTTTCAAACTGTAATGGCATTCCTGATAAAGTTGAGTGAAAAGCTTTAAAATAATCTCCTGTTTTGATGTAACATTATGATCTAAACAAGAAAAATTCACAAAACAGAATCACTTTTTGTCTTAACTGTACATGCAAACCAGTTTTTTTTCTAAAACACTGTAAGAAATTAATAATTATAAAAAAAATGCAACTACGAACAGTGTAAAAAAAAGTGTAAAAACTGTTACCCTGATTGATGTACTTTTGTTCAGATGAGACGGACCTGGCAGCATCATCAAAATACTACAGATATGTCTGGACAATAATGGCATACCCTCATACTGTCCNATCCAATCCACTTTATTTATATAGCATGATTTCAATAAACACAAGGTTTCCAAAGTGCTGCACAAAAAAGATAAAATAACTAAAATAAATAAAAGTAATAAAATAAAATAAAATAAAATAAAAGCACTGCCCGCACAGGATAAAAATATGCATGTGTATACATAAAATCAACATGTGTGTACATAAAATCAATAGAATGCTGTTGAGTCACTAAAACTAGAAACTGATTTCTCCAGATATTTTCAAATAAGTTTCATCCATTTCTTCATAGAGGAATGCGAAAAAAGTCAGTCTGTAGAGTTTTTAAAAGCGAAGAAACATGCTGTGTATTAAAGTTAAAAGTAGAGGATGCAGGTGGGTTGATTTTTACCTGTCAAAAGTATATGCCATGTAGTATGCTATGTAGATAGAATTTTTTTTTTATTTCCTCTCTGTTTATTGCGTTGACTTGGCAACAAGAGCATCCCACCAGTTTTTCCTCCACTGACTGCTTTGAAAGCAGGTGCAAAAAGACACTTCTCCACTCGGATTTCCTGTCACATCCTGCAGCCCACTCCAGTCCTAAACTTTCTATAATTACAACAATCTGTGCTCCAAGAGAGACTGTGTGAAATCTGATTGCTATTGGTAACATTCGCAGCAAGAGTCCTGCTGTGATAGAAGGCTTCCTGTTTCAATTTCCCAGGATCCCTTCAAGTTTTTTGCTTGCTCCTTTCTTTTTCACCCCATCAGTAGGCCATACATTTCCATTCAGGGGGAAAAAAACAGACCCGGTAATATCCAATTTACTGGAAGGCAGAAGAGATGGTTTCACTAGCAGTATAATAACATGCTACATGAAGCGTGGCAGTATAGAGTATGAATAAAAAAAGGCATCTATGATAAAAATTCAATCCAAAGGCAGTCATCATTCATTGGAGGAAATCAAGACAATTAGTAACACTTTACTGCAAATTGAGGAACATATAAACAAATCGCAAACACTGACATCGTAATGGGCCTAGAAGAGGATCAGCTCATATGGCCTGTTTCAAATGCACATTGGTAGACTAATCAAACATCATGAACTTACTGGAGTGACAAGAAAATAAAATGATATGCATTAGTGTATGGCGGCCTGCGCGGGTGTTGTTTGTGCATGACTCAAAGGCTGGAGTACAACAGTCTCTGTCTGCAGTAAGATTGATGATCTTAATGTACTTATAAACAACACTTTCAAACTGTAATGGCATTCCTGATAAAGTTGAGTGAAAAGCTTTAAAATAATCTCCTGTTTTGATGTAACATTATGATCTAAACAAGAAAAATTCACAAAACAGAATCACTTTTTGTCTTAACTGTACATGCAAACCAGTTTTTTTTCTAAAACACTGTAAGAAATTAATAATTATAAAAAAAATGCAACTACGAACAGTGTAAAAAAAAGTGTAAAAACTGTTACCCTGATTGATGTACTTTTGTTCAGATGAGACGGACCTGGCAGCATCATCAAAATACTACAGATATGTCTGGACAATAATGGCATACCCTCATACTGTCCAACAGACTTATGATTTATCATTATTGTTTTTTTAAAGTTCATACATTTCTAACACTTTCAATGACCAGCTTAAAAGAAAAAAAAGACATAACAACAAAGGAATAAAGAAAAAATGAGTAAAGAAAGATGGATGAATGGATTTGTGGGAAATGGGACACGGAATAAAGGCTGGAAATAGTAATATTTTTTCCAAGTTCACTTTTTTTCTGTACTTATTCTTACGCATTTTGACTCAACATTTTTAAAGCTTACAGAGACTATGTTTATGAAATATTATGGGGTGCAGAGAAAACTAGTTGCTATCCTATTGGTAAAATGGAGTTCCACAATGTTTAAACAACATCAGGGCCAATATTTTCCAAACCACTGATTTTGTAAAAAAAAAACAATTTTTTACTCATGATTTATGTTCACGCTAAAAGAAATGCAGTAAATTTAAAGTTCAGATTTTTCAACATTGTTTTTGTTTTAGTTTATGCTATTACAATAAAACACGCTTTTAATTCAAGCCTTTTTTATACATCTTTACAAGTAGGAGTAAAGCTGGATATACCAAAATATTTTTTATTGTTTTTAATCATAATTTCCTAAAGCATTATACTTAAAGCATGTCTACATAAAAATGAACATTTTATGCAAAAGGAAGCTTTCTTATTTCAGACATTTCCACTACTTGATTTTATGTTGCATGCATAAACAGTGCTATACATTAAAAGCATGACAGCACAGAAGCTCTTAAGTCTGATGCATGAATTACAGTTTTCAAGTTGAGGACGATAAAGTGATGATTTGACTTTGCAGGAACACAGCTGGAGCTTGAGTTCTGCAGATAGAACTCAACACCAACACACGGTTGTGCACTTATTTGTACAAGTGGAAGTGCTTCTTTCAGAACCTTTATTATGTATTAGTAGTAAAGTTGTATCTTAATTCAGCAATGCATTAAAAGAGCATAAGCTTGAAAGATTGGCTGTCCATGTCAAACACAAGAGCTGCATTAAGCATTAAAGCCATGGCTAACATGAGCTGTAAATCATCAAGAGGTAGCATTAAGGTAGCCAAGAGACAAACAACAATCTTTAGAAAGAGGACAGTGAGAGACTGTGTGCGTCATTTAGCCTTAATATAGCTACCTCCTCTTTATGAAGCCATGTTCTTTTTTACCCTGTTCTGAAAAAGACACATCAATCCAGCATGCTTGTTTCTGGAATGAATATGTAGGTAAATCAAATATATAAAAAAAGAAATACTCATAGTTTGCTCAAATTTGAATGTTGTATTGAATATGATGCTATTTTAGGAGGTCAAAGAACATTAGACGCTACATTTATCCTTTTTATTGATGTGTCCTACCTTCGGAGTGATGGGAGAGGGTGAGCAAACTGACACAGGAAGCTCCGATCCCAGATCCGAATACGGTGATGCGGTTGGAATCTCCTCCGAAGAAGCCAATGTTCTCGCTGATCCACCTTAAAGCCTGGATCTGGTCCAGAAGCCCGTAGTTCCCTTTGGCAGCCTGATCACCTGTGCTGAGGAAGCCTGAAACAGATAAAGATAAAAAACGATAAGAATAAAACCCATAAAGAGTGAGGAAAGGGATTGGTTTGAGAAAAAGGAGAAAAAGAAACAGGCAAACATGTATCCCCACTTTCACATTGTCACAGGAAGCGTCATGGTGAGTGACAGCTGCAGTGAAATCATGACTTATTACATGACACTGCTGTTGGTAAAATAGGATTGCATGTGCCCACATGTCATCTATACCTCATGGAAAATCAATGGCACGTCTCCCTAGGTGAACATCAATCATAAATTACTCTGTGCGGAGCAATATTGACCAGTACAAATGAAAAACTTACAGATTTATAGAAAACCTTAAGATCCTGTGTGAAAAATGCAGGATTTGATAATAATTTCCTCTACTTTTCCTCTGAGATATTTCAAACCTCTCTAACACTTGTCATGTTTTCAGTGACAACACACACAATTCGTGGGCATTTTCCCTACATGTCAGAGTAATCTGCCATGTGAGGTCTAAGTTGGAAAAGTGTGCGTCTCCTGGGTACATCAGAGCTCATGTTAACATACCACTCTCTCTCCAGGGCATAAGCCCTGCTGAATGATGGGTAATCGTGAGTCATGGGAGAAGATCAAAGGCAGGCAATCCCTAAAGTCCCAATGGTGGATTTGGTGTCCGTCAAATCCCCGGGCATGCATGTGAGGTGACAGCTTGTAGACGTGTGGAAACCAACACCCAATTCTCTTTCACAAGCAATAAATGTGTTGATGGAGGATGTTTAAAGGCCTCCAGTGATGGTCCTTCAGCATTGTGGCTTCCAACATCTATTTCATGGTCTGTGCCTTCATCTAATAATGAAGTCTGTTTTGAAGTCCGCTGGGGAGGGCAGACAGTTAACAGCAAAAACTGATTAAAACGAAAAAGTTTTAATCTGTGTGATTTCACTGATGTCACTGCTCACTAAAGATAAGCAAAGATTAGAGAGTAGCCCTCCGCAGAGCTATTAGTTGTTTACAGGATGTACTTAATCTACTAAAAGCGTTCATGTCTAACATCTCAGTTTTCAATGTTTTCTACTTTAGATAATATGATGGGTAAAAGGTGTGTCACGCAGTGCAATGTAACTGTTTTAAGTTGACTTCAAAAAAATAACAGAAATCGCACGGAGAGGTAAATATCATCTACACGAACTGCATAAATCCATCCATTTTCTGACACGTTTTATCCCAAGTGGGGTCGGGAGGGGTGCTGGTGCCTATCTCCAGCTGTTTATGGGCGAGAGGCGGGGTACACTAACTGCATAAACTCTTTAGAAATTACATTTACTATGAAAACATGAGTGTAGTGGGAAGGATCTGACACATTTCTGTCAAAATAAACCACTTTTCCCAGCACAACAAACCAGAGACAAAAAGACAGAAAAAATATGTAATTATAAAGGTAGAATTAAGGTAGGTTTGGAAGATAGAACAGAATAGTATTCAACTTATTGTCATTACACTGCCACAAGTACAGAGCAATGAAAATAAGTCTCTGCATTTAACCCAACCCCCTTGGGGAGCAGTGGGCTGCCATTGTGCGGGGCCAGGGAAGATCCATTGATGGAATTATTGATCAGCAAATTAATAATGATGGATTGATGGATGGATTTACAAAAGATGGATAGAATTCATGTATCATTAGATAACAGGTCAATATATTGACAAACAGATTGATGAGTAAATAGGTTGATGGAGAGATAAAAGATACATTGGACAGATGGATTACATAGTTTGGAGATTAAAAAACAAAATAAACAAAAAAGAAACCTTTAAATAATAGTACATTTATTTCCCTTTTTGAATGAAAGTGAACAGAAATATGATTCTACTAAGCTATTTCTTATGTTCACACTCATTCAGAACTGACTGATATTAAAAATCATATTCTGTACTTTTTCCCATATTTACAGACTATGCTGTAACCAGAAGAAAATACCACCATATCTTTAAAATTTGCAGCACATTGCCGTAGCACACCCTCTCAACATAACAAAAACAAAGTACATCAGATTGTGTTTGTGCGGAAACCTTTTATAAGAAAAATCTCAAATAAAAATTTGGGTTTGACTTTTGTACTTGACCCTCTGTGAGTGTTTCATTTTCTTCACAATGTGGTTATTTTCATTTCTCATCCACCGGCTGCTTTTAAGTTTTGACATATAATCATTTTTGTAGAAAATACAGCATTTGAAAACTTTGAAGTGCCTTTTCAAACCATTAGTATTTGAGTGGTGAAGATGAATCCAGGCTATTTTTGTGTCAAATCTGAAATATCTTTGGTTTTAAAAATGTAAAATAGTAGTAATTATTCAGGGATAAGTAATATTGCGTAATCAATCTGTTCAAAATTGGAATATGCTGACAATCTGCTAAATCAAATAAATCACTGTCAGGACTCCTGTTTTTGTGTGTCTGTGTTTGTCTCCCTTTATCCACCAGGAGGCGCCTGGTTCTGGTCAGCCTCCTCACACACCTAGTGATGGTTTCCTTGTTAGACGGAGTATTCTTAAGCTGCTGACTGCCACTACCTCAACGCCAGAGTGTTTGCCAGTTTTGGGTACTCTAGCCAAGCTGAGTTTTGCTGAGTCAAACTGAGTTTTGTCAACCTGAGTTTAACTTTGTTTTTGTATTTGCCTCTCGGCAGGAAGTCACCCAGCAAACTGGATTTCTCGAAACCTTCTCTCCCTGGAAGGATCAACTGAGCTTCAAACTGAGCTGGGGTTCAAACAGGAGGTTTGGATCCACTTTCCCCAAGAGAGCGTTTGAGCTTCTCACTGAGAAAGGGATTCATCTACACTACGACCCGTTCAAGTACCGCAGGAAATCTGAGTGGCCGTCAGTTTTCTCTGTTCACCAACTAACAACCGCATTCAAATTCCCCACTGAGCCTGAACTAACCTCTGTGTCTTCCCCTCACTTTACAGTTCCGGTTGAGCAGTGTTCAGAGCAACACTCTCCCTCTGTTTAACCTCTTCAATAAAACCTGTTAAACCTTTTCCCTGGTCTCTCTGTTCGGTTTTCTGCATTTGGGTCTGAACTTTGTAACATCATGACAATCACAGGATCTTCTATAGCACACTAAATGCTCTATTGTTATTTTGTCGCAAAGCAATAATTTTCCTCTTATTCATTTAGTATTTTGTTGCAATAAATATTGGTCTTAAATATTATGTCAAAACTCTGTAGTAAAAATGTTTTTCTTAACCATTTTAAATTCAAACTTCTATCAAACAGTTTCCTCTTGTGTCATTTTTGCTGCCGTAATAAAAACTACTTGTTACTTGGGTTTTAGAGTGAGAAAATTAAGTGAATTTTATGTAACACAAAGTCCTGTCACATCTTTAAAGAAGCTGTGTTGCTTTGTATGCACTCCTGTCATAAATAGTGCCTGTAGATCAGGATCAATGGTGTGGAATTCAGTGTTCTACTGCATCAAGACTTGTAACAATACTTTTTCATATCCATGAGCAGCTCTTTTATGGTAGCCATAATTATTATCTGAATTAACCAGAAGTTAAGTTTGTTGCTGATATTTCAATTATAATGCGGTGAGCAGATAATATTTGTGGTGCTGCATGAGTGTATGTAAAGTTGTGATTCAGCCCTAACTGAAGCACCTCAGTCGCACTTTATGAGTGCTATCGTATAGCGGTTCACCATTATGAACAGCAACATAATTTTCTTTCTAAGCAATTGTAATGAAAGGTAAATACACAACAGTCTGAAAGAGGTACAGCATTAAAACCATGGTTGGCCTTTTTGCTTGTGAAAAGTCCAGGTTTTATGCGTATAGAAAAATACTAATTCTGCATCTCTGACTTCTTCCCATAGGTCTTCACAGAAGGCTCTGAAAGCAAAGACTTTAACTACTGCAGAATATTAAGTGGTGTTAAACTTAGTGGCATTTAGCTGTATTTTTTTGGTCTTAAAACAGGGCAGAGAAAATAATAGAAAAATCCTTTATTATCTCACAGTGGGAGGAATTCAGGTAAACCAGCAGCAAAGTGAAAGGCAACTTGAAACATACAGATACAGACAAAGCTAGAGAGTATAAGAACAAAAATAAGAATAAAAGACTGCACACTAAAGGTACATTAACAATGTCAAAATATATTTGCCTGTACAACACAACAAAACTAGATCCAGTCCCTGGGCTTTAGGTTTAAGACCAACCATAATTAATATTACTTAAACATAACATTAATATAAAAAGTGGTACATTAGACGTACATTTATAAAAGAAATAGTGTGCTCAGATTAAATATATGTGCAACTGAGTGGGTTGATTTTAAAAAGTCAAAAAGTATTTGTATATTTTTACATAATAAACAACACCAGACTACTAAGAAGAAGGACAAGCCGCAAAAACAGTGAGGTTGTAAACACTAATATAGTTTGTCAGGAGTAGTGATGGTTAGAAAGTCGTGCAGCTGCTGGCTGAAGGATTTGCAATAACACTGTTTATTAAGTATTAAATATAGGCTTTCTAGCTCTAAAAGAGCATCATGGATACGATGCGAGACATTGTCCAGCAGTGATGTTATTTTGTACTGCCTTCTTTTGTTTTCCATCACCTGTAGGAGGGTAAATGTAGAAGTTAGCCAATATATTGGGCTTGGAAGGTGAGGTTGCGAGGCCCACTCCCACAGACTGTCACTCTGGGTCCCTGAGCAAAGTCCCTTAACCCCACTCTGCTCCTCAGGTGCCGCAAATGGCAGCTCACTCCTCCCCA